CACACACACACACACACACACACACACACACACAACCCTACACAGGCACACATTTAAATGATCTTGGTTCAGATTTTGTGATGTGGGGTTCTATTGAGTTTTTATTGGCTGTCAGTATCCTACCTGCAGTAAACAGCTTTGTGAACAACCTAAATTTGGAAAAACAAAAATGAGTTATAAGTAGACAGTCAGGCTAATGACCAGTTTGACTGTCCTCCATCCTCTTCTGACAACCTAATAAATCTACTGCCTGTTCAGAACAAATCAGTGTTTCTCTAAATGCAGTAAAAAGCTATGCACTGCAGGTAGAATACTGACTGCATATACCCTCTAATCAGAATCTAAACAAATCCTTTAGAACAGTTTTGTCAGAGCTGCTGCACATGTTGTGATTTCGGATTTGGCCCAAACCCATTCCCACTGTATTTGCTTGCAGTTGGGTTCATTAAGTTCGAGGAAAGCACCAACAATCACTTATTTGCTCCCCAGTTTGCTTTTGAACATGCCAGAGCAAAAGATGCAGCAGTTTTGTCTTACCTGGGATATGTTTGGCCCAGCCGATGTTGACCACCAGCTCTCTGTCTGCCAGGTCACAAAGCGTAGTCAGGGCCTTGATGTCACTGTCTGGTACTGTCGGGTCAGGCATGGCATAAATCTTCTCTGGCTCGGCCACCAGCAGGTGAGAGACGATTTTGTTATCTGCAAGGCAGCCAAAGGCAACTGACATGACCACCAGACAAGGAGACAAACACAGAGACAGGGAGATAGTGAATTTTTACCTTGTTAGGCTACAAGCTGTTCCACACCAATCTGGTGCAAACATGTGAAAGCGCATATACAAAACCTAGAATAACGTGTGCTGATCATTAGGGCTGCAACTAACGATTATTTTAATAATCAATTAATCTGTCGATTATTTTTTAAATTAATCGGCCAAATCATTAAAACACATAATTACGTAACTATAAGTAGATATAAATTAATTTAATTCCTGTATAAATTAGGGGTGCAAGTTATCGATTAATGCGAAGTTGTCTGAAGTTGATTTATCTTATAGACTGACTAACGATTAATTGATAGGCAGCCATTTTCTTAAAAAAAAAACAGAGTTTTCTATTGAATCAAGAGGGTCTTTTCATAACATGAAGGATTTTTTATGATAATATGCTAAATTAAAATAAGAAGCACATCATAAATATTTTCACAATTGATTTTGCCAGCCTTATTAAACACCGACTTGAAAAAAAGTGGATTTCTCATACATTAATAAACTTGGTTATGACCATAAAACATAACAAGTGAAATTTAATAGGTTGCTGAATGAGGAAAACTGAATAAAATATGATTTTTTTTAATGTAAAACTATTATTAATTTGTTATTATAACTAGAATAAGTTTATATTTAGAATTTGATTTTCTCTGGTTCTTTACATTTTGTTTCCTTCTTCTTGGTTCAGTCTGTGGCTAAAACGGTTTTCTATGACCCAGTAAGCAGTTCTGAAGCGGTCACCCATCCCTCCCCCGTCCCCTACTGAGTCAGACCAGGAGTTCTGCTCGCGTCGTTTTATTTTTTATTTTTCCTTCGTCCTGAACCTTTTTGCTGCTTATCAAATAACTTTGAGCATCGGTCAGAAAAAAAGATTGGAGGGTTTTATATTTCTGCCCCGAGAGAAGGAGGAAACAAACGGTGGACTGAGGTACTTTTTTTTCCTCCATGGGACGAGCTTCTTCCTCGCGACGCGGTGCACATCAAATCAGACCGTCATTTAAAAGAAATTAATGTAGCATATACTTCTTATCATAACTTCGGGTCTACTTGGCCTAACAACACAATTTAAAAACTGGTTTAAAGTTCCAAGTCTCTACTTTCACTTGAGAGTCAGAGAGGGCGGATCTTTACAGGTAGAGTTTTTTCTTTCTTCCTAAACTTTATTTAGGTCAGCCAGCATTGACAATGCTCTGCGGGTGACGTAAACGGCTCCGCAACATGGAGAGAGACGCATAAATCGCGCGACACAACAAATCGATAATGAAATTCGTTGCCAACGCTTTTAACAATCGATTTTTATCGATTCATTGTTGCAGCCCTACTGATCATGTTTAAAAAGATTTTCCCATGTAGCAAAATAAAGTAATATGGTGTAAAAAATATCACAATACATTTTGTTAAAAAAAAACAACACAAAACTCATTTTTTATTGGAGACTAACATTTTTGACACATTTGACAACAAACTATTCAGTTAACAAATTACAAGACCAAACAAGAAATTATTCGTAACTAAACAATTATTGAAAGACTTTCAAACAGGACACGTTCAAAGCTGAGATTAATGGCGATAACCACCAGTGATCCAAGTTGTCCAAAATGTTTGATTTTGGTACAACAGCCCTGGGAAACTTCACCTCCACAGAACAGAAGGGGAAGATAATTCTCAAAGCGAAACAGCTCAGCTGGGAATAGTGACATGTGGTGATGAGACCTCTATGGCCCATTAGAAACAGACTGATATCCAACTTGCAAATTAATCCACAGACTAATCAAGTGTGTTGTCACAGAATAGAAGAGCGAGAGAAGAGTGTAGGATTGGGAAAGACGGAAGGAGAGAAAAGTGAAGAAAAACGAGTGAAGACAAACAGGTAAAAATGGAGCTATGGACAGATTGCAAAAAAACCGACTGAGAGCGATAAGTAGATAAACAGCAAGGGAGTAAAAGAGTTGTGAGGATGAGTTGTGTATTGATCTAACACTGTCCGCTACCCCCCATTTTCTTACATTCGCACATGAGGATATGAGTGTGTGTTTGTGTGTGTGTGTTTACACATATATCTGGACGTATTCAGACACACGTGGTCCAGCAGGAAGGTCATTTGAGCCACACCAATCCAAGTCAGACTGCAGTATCTGTGGGTAAATCTTATTTAATGTTTCCCTAATTAGAATCAATGGAAGCCCATTTCCAAACCCTGGGCTATTGTTCTGTTCTCAAACAATCAATGGAGAGGGTGAGGTAGGGAAAAGGCTCTGTGAGTGCGAAAGAGACAGAAACATTTTGTTTGTGTGTTGACTCTTTGACTGAAAAAGGATGCGATATTTAGCAAAAAGAAATGTGAGATATACAGATTGATGAAATAGTGTGTGATCTTGTTCTTTATTAACAAAAGGACACAGATGCTTTCTAACAATGACAGGATTAAACAAGTATATATGTGACCCATCACATCGAAACGAGGATTAAGTCCAAAAGTGGTGTATGGAGAAATAGGCAAATATAGTGTTTTGACTAAAATGTTAACAAAAATTGCATTTTGTCTAAATAAAATGAATAAATGCCTTATCAATGTATCATTTGAATGAACTGTCTGAAATATAATCATAAAACAAAATTTTGAAGCACTTTTTTGAGCGGTAGCAACAAAAAAAAACTGATTTTGAGGAAAAACGCCTTAAAATTTTAAGATTTTCCCTGTGAGTTAGCAAAGTTTTGTTTCTTTTCAGCTGGGAAATCTCAATAATCAAATAAAATTTGAGGTATAAGGACATCAAAAATTCCTCATTAAAATGACATAAAATTAGGATTCAGACCAAATATTTCTGTATTATTGTAACCAACAAGACAAATTAAGTCATATATATGGATTTAATTATAATATCAGAATGATCCAGGTATCAAAATGTAGCTTTTAAAGCCAAGAATCTGAAAATGTAATTAAGTCATTTTGACCAAATTTGACTTAATCCTCATTTCGATATGATGGCTCACAAATATTTCGAATTGATGGAGAAAAAAATATCTACGGACTAGCTCAGCAGTTCAGATGTTCAGTTAGCTGGAACACTCAAAATCCACTGAGTATGCCAACACATACATAGTGTACACATATTCACATTATCCCATAATTTTCTATGATTAGTAGTGCAAACGTCCCAGTAAGCTGCCATGCAGCCATTCAACATATTGGCCTAAAGCAGAATATGTTCCAGCTTTAAGCAAAATGGGCTTTGGGGACCAAGCTGCTAAACACTCCTCAATCTGCACCGCATGAGTGTGTATGCTATGTGCAAGCAGACGGTTAGCTAGAGAGCTAACTCTAGTTTGATGTAGGTGCCAGATTGGATTTAATCCGGATTAGGGCTGTGGCTGTTCTCGCTCCCTCCGTTCTCCCCTCTCTCTCTGGGAAATGCTCTCATTTGGGTTTAATCTCTCCACGGCTACCTGTCTCTGTCACTCTCACTCACTCTTTCTCATTAATTGTTCACTCACCGACCATTGGTTATGATTAAATTCCTGTTTGGAAAAAAATATATATAAAAAAATAGCAACCAATCCAGCTGGAGCAAAATGAATACATTTATGGTGAAATCTAGCACACACAACATGTTATGATCCCACTGTGTTATGGAATAATGGGCGCTGTTTATTGTATGATCATTGTTACTTTCTTTCCATGGAATGTTAATGAGCAGTTCCTGTCCTTGACAATTACCCCTTCAGATCTTGCTTGGTTTGTGTGTGCACAAACGTGTGTGTGTGTGTGTGTGTGTGTGTGTGTGTGTGTGTGTGTGTGTGTGTGTGTGTTTGTTCTCACATGGCTTCTTGGGGGGCAAAGCCAGTTGTGGGTTCAGGTACGGACTGTTGTCTGCATCTATCCGGCGTTTATATTTCTGTCTCCCACCACGAACCCTGTCAAGACGAACCCCTGGAAGAAATGACAGAGAAAGGAAAAGTGTATCATTATAGTGTGCCTGACACAAAAACAAGAGATACTTTCTTTGAAAAAAGAATAAAAAAAGTGAAGAAAGGAGGGCGGGGG